CTCTCTCTCTCTCTCTCTCTCTCTCTCTCTCTCTCTCTCTCTCTCTCTCTCTCTCTCTCTCTATCTCTCTCTCTCTAATCTAACAGGATTGAGGAGGATGTGGGTTCGCAACGTCAGCAGAAATAGCAAGTTGTTAATCTAACTAAAAAGAATATTTATTACTAAAAGATTTCTGGATTAATAAGGTCTTGATTGTTTGAGATGATGACAAAACGGAGATGAATGCTATAGAATGAATATGTTACATAAGCAGTATGCTCTTATAAATGTATTTAACAAAATGATTGGTAGAACACTAAATGATCATATATAAAATTATCATATAAAATTAGTTTATGATATATAATTTCTTTATTTCTAAATAATATTGATATATTATATTAATAATATATATGTCTGTTAATTTTATATTTTAATTGAAAATAATGAATTATACTTGATTATATATATACTTAATTATATTATAAACAAAGATGTATTATTCGTTTAAAAAATCTTAAATAAAATTAATTTAAATAACGAAATATAATTTTTTGGATATAAACATATTTTTGATATTATTGAATAAATTAATTAAATTATACTAAATTATTCATAAATCTGTATATATTCGAAAGGCATATGTTATGCCGAAAATTTCATATGAAACCATCAGGCAAAAAAGAATTTAGAGAACATTTGCATCATCTATATACTATTTACATGCCTTTGTAATAAATATTCATTGGGTAATAAGGAGCGTAAAAATCAAAGTTTACTTATGCAAATATTCTACCAATCATACTTCAAGTAAGGGATAACGTTAGGGATGGATGTTCGGGTACCCATTCGGGTTCGGTTCACATCTTTTTGGATTTTGAGTTTTTGGGGTTCAAGATTTCAAAACCATTCTGGTATTTATAAATTTTTGTTCAGTTTGGGTCTTTGCAGGTTTGGTTCGAGTTTGGATAATCCATTTAAATTATTTTTAAAATTTTAAATTTGTATATACTCTAAATTTCTCAAAATTTGAAAATAAAATAATATATAACATATAAATTTGTATAATATATGCCAAAATATCTAAATTTAATATAAGATTGTTTATTTTGAATATTTGGATAGATAATCAATAAATATTATAAGTAATTATGTGTTTTGAATATTGTTTAGCTATTTTATATTTTTATTTTTGATTGTTTGTATATATTTAAAATATTTTGGAAAACTTCAAAAGTATCTTATACATTTTGGATATTTTTAGACATTAAATCTAAAAATAACTATTATATTCAAGTATATAAATCTGATTCATATATATTCGAATACTTAAAATATTTCGGTTAAGATCGCGGATTCAATTTCGGTTCTCTAGATACCAAAATTTTAAATCCATTCAGATATTTAAGCAGTTTTGGTTCAAATTCAATATTATTTTTCGGATAAGATTCGGTATAGTTTTTTGGATTCTATTTTTTGCCACCTAGATAACATATATGCTATAATTTAAAGATTTTTAATAGATACTGATACTGTTAGAGTGTTGACTGTTGTAAGTTGTAATAGATTAATGAAAATAGTTATCTTAATGGAAATGCCACAGTTAAAGTAATCGTATATGATATCATAATACTACGAAACTGGCGTAATTTAGACGATCGAGTAATAAGTATAGTACTAGGTGATTTCCCGTGTTCATGCACGGGTATCAATATTCATAAAAGTAAAATTTTATAATAATTGATTGATATTTAGTTTTAATTTTAGTTTTGAATAAATTTGTATGTATAATTTATATTAAGAAATATTATATTATTCTATATATATGACTTTGGATATCTTATTCTCGGTTTAATTATTTTTTGGATCAATAGTCGGTATGGTTATTAATTTAGTATTTTGGAAAATATCTATTTTTCGAATTCAGCTATAATATTTTTATTCTAAATATAATAAAACTTCGATTAATTTCTTATTTTCATTTCGGTTGGTTGTTGTATTAGATATGTAAATATATTCTTAGATATGTAAATATATTATAGTTAAATTATGTATAACTTACTATATATTGTGCTTAAAATGAAATAAATAATAAGTTGAAGTGTTTGATTTAAAATTACATAAATTAATATAATGATAATATTTTGAAGTCTCATGCATATATATAAATTCTAGAAAAGAATTAAATTGTAATTGGTTAATATTTTCTTTTTCTTTTTAATATGCTTTGAGTCAACCTCTAATTTATATGTATAAAATTAAATAGATTATTATTATTATTATTATTATTATTATTATTATTATTATTATTATAAAATTATATGTTCTGATTGTAGTTAGATATTTAATTTAGATATAAATTAGATTAGTCGAGTCATTCATTTTGTGAGTATATTGAGTTAAATATATTTTTAAATTAAAACTGAAGTATAATTACTTTTTATTTAGTTAAGTCATGTCAAATTAGTTTTACTTATCACTTAAATATACATGTATTTTCATAATATTTATTTACTCTTTATTTTAGTTAAGTCAAATTAGTTTTATATATCGCTTAAACATACATGTATTTTCATAATATGTATCAAATTATATGTTGATTTCTAAAAAAAATATTAGAAAATAAAGTGTAACTGATAAATTTTTGAATGCTCTTGAACATATATATATTTTTATTATTTTGAAAATATTTTTATGTTATTTAAAAATATATATTAATGTGGGTATTACTATTTTGTGAACTTTCCTTTTTAATAAAATCATATTATATACATATATTTTCGTTTTTAAATTTGTTTTAAAATTTTAGAAATATTTCCTTTTTATTTTATATGTTATTTGGAAAAATGATAAAAAGTAAACTAAATAAAAAAATTAATAATAATCTTAAAATCTAACAATTCATTAAGGGTATCTATGTAATCAACCATCGCGAGAGTTAACGTGAGCACGACACGTAGGAAACTGACTTCTCAAATAATAGTATAGAGATTTAAAATTTACAAATTCCGAAGAATATAGTAAAACAAGTCCACTTTCATCATTAATGTCTTCTCCTTATCATTTTTTGTCACACTCATGCATACATGATCCATCTTCTTTCCGTTAAGAGGACAAAAAAAAAGAGAGAGAAACCTTAATTTGATTTCGAGAGACCAAACATAACAATGACATCTCTATTCTCTAAACCTCGAGCTCTCACTTCCCTAGTTTCCAACTTTAAAACCTACCGTCCGGGGATCGGAAAACTCCATGTGGCCACCTTGACGCTTCTCCTCCTCCTTATCGGCGTCGGTATTGCCGTCTCTTCCTCTCTATGGCTTAGTAAGGTATACTTAATTAAGAAAATTAATCTATAATAACGTTATCAAGAAAATTAACATAATCTTTTTTTGTGAATCAAAGACGACGAAACAATTTGATCGACCGACATTAGTCACAACAAAACCGGTACGGCAGCTACAACCACCACATAAAACCGAAGTATTGGTAAATTGCACAAGTTTTTTGAATCAAACCTGGTCTGGTTCTTGCTCAAGAACATATCTATGGCTTAACAAGGTAATTGTTTTTTTTTTAATTTTTAACATGGTAATTATTCTTGAGATCTTTTCATTACATGATTAAAAGTTCTTATAACTTTTCAATAATACAACGTTTAAATAATTGTTTACCTCAGACAAAATCATACAATTAACCGACAGTTATGTCAACAAAATCGGTTCAGGTACCTGTACCAGTACCAGAGAAGAAATCAACGAAGAAAACCGGAATTTCGGTAGATTGCACAAGTTTCTCAAATCAAAGCCGGTCCGGTTCTTGCTCGAGAACAGCTCAACCTGGTTATAGGTCTAACCAAACCAAATCGAACCGGTCATGTCCTGATTACTTCAAGTGGATCCACGAGGATCTAAAGCCATGGAGAGAGACGGGAATAACAAGAGAAATGGTGGAAAGCGGACAAACGACAGCGCATTTCCGGTTAGTCATAGTAAACGACAAGGCGTTCGTCGAAAACTACAGGAAGTCAATACAGACTAGGGACGCGTTCACACTGTGGGGGATTCTTCAGCTGCTGAGAAAGTATCCAGGGAAGTTGCCTGACGTGGATCTCATGTTTGACTGTGATGATCGACCGGTAATTAGAATGGACGGTTATAAAAAATCTAATCATACAGCTGAAAGTGCACCACCTGCGTTATTTAGATACGGCGGGAACAGATGGACGGTGGATATTGTCTTTCCCGATTGGTCATTCTGGGGATGGTATGTTGTGGAATATATCTCTACTCTTTCTCTCTTTTTCCTTCTTTTGTTTTCTTTGTCTGAAGTGTGTATGGTTGTTAACTTACAGTTGTCCCCACTTGATCACATGCCGGAAAAGTTGCAGTTTTGTCCAATTTTTCTCTTATATAAAAGTAGATTATTTCGTGATTTCATTATTCTAAATAAATTAAAAGATTCATTTTGTGTTTTTTAAACACATTTTTTGTTTTTTTTAAACACATTTTGTGTTTAGATATAGTAATTTAAGTGGTTCGAAAAAGTAAGATTAAATGGTTAGAGTACACTCCACTCAATGTCACTACTAGTAAAATATGTTGAATAGCTAAAGTAACTTTAATTTCTATATGTTTCAATCTTTACAGCAAAACGCGAAGTGTATAGTTCCAATAACTCATTGGTAATATGCTAGTTAAATATGTTGAATAGCTAAAGTAACTTTAATCTCTATATATTTCAATCTTTACAACAAAACATGAAGTGTATAGTTCCAATAACTCATTGGTAATTTCATATTAAACTTTGAAATATTGTTTTGTATCAAGTATCATATTTATATGTCACTGGTGATTTATTTGCATAGTTGAAAACTTAATAAACTAAAAATGAATTAAATTGGTGGATGAAGGCAAGAGATAAACATAAAGCCATGGAACAAAGTGTTGGAAGAAATGGAAGCAGGAAATAAGAAGAAGAATTTTATGGAGAGAGAGGCATATGCATATTGGAAAGGGAACCCTTTTGTTGCATCTCCTTCAAGAGAAGAACTTCTTACTTGCAATCTATCCTCACAACATGACTGGAATGCTAGAATTTTCATTCAGGTATATAATATGCTTTTATAAGCTTATGTTTCTATAACCATATTTTACTTCTTCTTTTTTATCATTCCATGCGATATAAAATGAGCAATGTGTTACTTGTGTTTAAATAGGATTGGATATCAGAAGGACAAAAAGGATTTGAGAATTCAAATGTAGCAGATCAATGCATTTACAGGTTAGTATCAGTCTATATTTTTTGCCTTATAGTACCAAGGTCTAATTTGAGCTTTATATATATGTTGAATCTAATGACTGGGATATGATAAATTGTGCAGGTACAAAATATACATCGAAGGGTATGGATGGTCAGTGAGTGAGAAATACATATTAGCATGCGACTCAGTTACATTGATGGTGAAACCTTATTACTATGATTTCTTCTCAAGAACTCTTCAACCTCTCCAACACTATTGGCCCATTAAGGATAAAGATAAATGTAGATCCATCAAATTTGCTGTTGATTGGCTTAATAATCACACTCAGAAGGTACCTTTGTCAAATTTTTTTTATCACTGCCTAGATAGTCTTCCTTGCATGATCAATTTTTGGTCAGTCTATTTTTCAATGTATAAAACTACACATTGAAAATGATTTAGGTTAAAGTAAAAAACATAGATCGCCTAAAGTATTGTATTGTATACATCAATACATACATATATATATATATTGAGTAATTAGTTTCAATTTTGTGAGAATGTTTTTCATTTTAGCTCTCGAATATAATAGTTGAGTATATAACAATGGATAGATGAAAAAAAAACATTTCTGTTTTCCTCTATTGTTGAAATACAGTACGAAAAAACATGTTGCGTGATATCTTAAAAGGTTGGATCGCATAATTGTTCACTCTTTGTCTATAATTGGTTGCAGGCTCAAGAGATTGGAAGGGGAGCAAGCGAATTCATGCAAAGGGATCTATCAATGGAAAACGTGTATGATTACATGTTCCATTTGTTGAATGAATACTCAAAGCTTCTTAAGTTCAAACCTCAAGTTCCCAAAAACAGTGTTGAAATCTGTACAGAAGCGATGATGTGCCCTTCTGGAGATGCTAATGGGACTAATAGGAGTTTTTTGATGGATTCTTTAATTGATGAGCCTCACATTTCAGGTCCATGTTCACTTCCTCCTCCTTTTGATTCCAACGGCCTCGAGAAGTTTCATAGGAAGAAATTGAATCTCATCCGGCAAGTTGAGAAATGGGAGCACGCTTACTGGGAAAACGTTCAGTAACAGGACATTGTTCAGATTGATATGGTTTTATTTATCTTTTATTTATCCAATCACGTTGGATTAATGACATTTTGGGATATATATCATTCTTCATTAGCACACAGATGGTCCACATAACAACATATTTAGTAGCTGCTTAGCCTGGGTAGATCAATGTCCTAAACCTTAAAACCTGACACAAGCCCGCATTGAAATCTGTTGAACTAATAGATTGTGTGTTAATGGCTTCTATTTATATGTAGTACATTATGACATGGGTACCATAGTCAAGTTGAATGGTCTGTGTGAGTGTGAAGCTTCCGGCCCAAATCTTTCCCATAAAAATCTTACCCCATTCTGATTTTAATCGTTTACATGTATATGTTATTTACAAAAACTGGATTTATGTTTTTGTATATTTATTGTTTCCAGTTCCGGGATTTAGAGTTCTTTGAAGATTAAGAGGCCATGTGAAGATACTGCAATATGATTATATAGTTTGACTGGGGAACTTAATGATCAATTTCATGTGAACATATATAAGATGGGGCAGTTGTAATTAATAAGTTTTGTTTCCTGCCTTGAATGAATATATACAAAGTTCATTCATTACATATATGAATATAATTTGTAACTTCAAAAATATTTATGATGGGATATTGTATAAGCCATTAGGTACCAACTTTGGTACTCGTTTTGTTGCAACTAACGTGTATCTCTTCGTAGCACATACTTAAGTAATGCCTTTAAAAATAAACAATAGAAGAACATGATGTATATATTATGGGGAATTCGACCAAAAAAAACACGAACTTTGCACGAATTGCCAAAAGAAACATAAACTTTAAGGCTGGCCAAAAAAACACAAAAATTTCATTGACTTTAGAATTAAATAATAAAGTTTTCGTTGACTTGCCAATTTAACACGTCGTCAACAAATTTAACAGAGAAAAATTGACGAGTCATTAAGTGAAACGACGTCGTTTTCAAATGAAATGAAACGACGTTGTTTTACATGAATTTGAAAATAAAAACATGTACACCCGCAGATTCAAACCCGGGTTGATTGGGTCAAATGGCAAGACATTTTACCACTAGACTACGAGCACTTTCAATATAATTAGTAACAAATTTAATTTTATTAGATACTGATTACATATAAAAATTGTCTAAAAACTTAAAAAAATCTTTAAATTTTCAAAAAGTTGAAGAAATAAATATTTTTTATAAAATTAATTTTAAATTAAAATAAAAAAATAAAATTTTAGTTTTTCTTTAAAAAAATCAAAAGTCTTCCAAAATTTTCAATTTTTTTTTCAAAATTCCAAAAAACTTAAAAATTCAAAGAAAATGCAAAATTAAGTTAAAATTATTAGATAAAATTAAAATCACACTCGTACTGAGTACAATATCTATTTTAAGCATTTTAATTTAATTTAATATGTGGGTATATTTGTGTTTATAATTAATTTCAGTTTTTAGCAATTGTTTTTAAAAATGAATATTTTGGAAGACTTTTGATTTTTTAAAGAAAAAATAAATTTATTTTTATTTTAATTTCAAAATTAATTTTATAAAAAAATCTTTATTTCTTTAACTTTTTGGAATTTTAAAGATCTTTTAAGTTTTTAGACAATTTTATATGTAATCAGTACCAAATAAAATTAAATGTGTTACTAATTACATTGAAAGTGCTTGTAGTCCAGTGGTAAAATGCTTTGTCATTTGACCCAATCAACCCGGGTTCGAATCCGTGAGTATACTTGTTTTTATTTTCAAATTCATTTAACGTTGTCCTAATATGGCCAGACAATATTAAGTTGCTTAATAAACCAAAAAAGTCAACAAAAGTACAAATTTTTTTTGGCAAGGCTCGAATATAGGTTTTTTTGGCAATTCGTGCAAAGTTCGTGCGTTTTTTGGTCGAATTCTCATATATTATGTGATAAAGAGTGTAGTTATTATTGGTTGTGTAATTATTCATGAATACTATAGTAAAATATTAGTTTGTTCATTTTTATTAAATGTCATTTTTCTCCTCATGCAAAAGAAATGTTAGTGTAAGATTTGATAAAAAAAATTGAAAAAGAATAACCTGGTTTGTTAACAAAAATAATCTCGTTGTATAACTTTATTTTCAGTTATTGCCATGTCACCTAATACTAGTAGGAAACTTATTTTCAACTGAAGCTTAATCACTTGGCTAAACATCTTTTGATAAACATGTCTAGTCAATTGTGTAATAATATCTAAAATTGTACCGTATTTGCATACATGGTTAGATGTAAAAAATCTAAACGTTTATGTGAGACAATAAACTACTATAAATGGCCCATATCATTTTGATGTCATTACAAAGTTGAGTATTCATGATTATCCTTATTAATTTCCCTTAGTATTTACTCAATGTTTGCTTGTAAGCATTGGGTGTGAAGACTTGGGAACCTAATTCTTTTTCTTTTTTAACAAGGAAAAATGATTACCAGCTACCTGAAGTATCTGCCATCACATGACTGACCATGCAAAGTAAAAAAATATACACTCAACTACACGAAGTATATGGTATGCATAGTAACATCCATGAACTTTATGTTGTCATGTAGCTAACATCACAAGGCTAATAACAATTAATTACATCACAAGATTAATTACATTTATAATAAATATAACATATAAAAACATTTTAAGATATGGAAAATCTTTTTTATATTTTATATTTTTATTATTATGAATATTTTATTTTAAAAAGTGTTATACAATAATATTAAAAATTAGTTTTATTTCATAAAAAACTTTAAACTTTATTTTAGTTTTAATTTTTATTTCTAATAGTTTGTCCTTTATTTTTCTATATGATTTGTTAGGTGAAATTCTATTTTTACCCTATTTATTGTAGCACAATTCATTTTTCCTTCATTAAGGATGTATTTATACAAATACATTCTTTCACCAAATGGAAAAAGACTCTTTTACCAATTTTTATAAACATATATAAATATAAATAATTATGTAAATAGTTAAGTCATTAAAAATTATTTTTCAAAACATTTTATATCTTTAAAATGTCTTCATAAACAATTTCAGTAAAAAAATTTAAGTATTTTATTGCAAAAAGCTTTTGTATTAAAATATTAAAAATATTAAAAACGTTTTAGTTTATTGAAATTTTTTATAAATAAGAGATATAAAAACGTTTTCAAATATACCTAATTATGTAGTTTCATTAAAAAAACAAATACTTTTCTTTCCTTACATTATAAATATAAATAATTATTTAAGTCATGTATAATAAATGCTAAACTAACAAAATATTAAAAATATGTAAAATTGAAATAAACTTTTTTTTTTCTAAAACAAAATTAATTTAAATATTACTGTATAAAACTTTTTTAAAATAAAAATATTCTTAATAATAAAAAATCAAATAAAAAAGATTTTCCATATCTTAAAACATTTTTTATATTTCTATTTTTTATTAATGTAATTAGCCTTGTGATATAATTAGAATAATTGGTCTTGTGATGTTGCCTACATAACAACATAAAGTTTATGGATGTTAGTATGCATATCATATACCTCATGTAGTTAAGTGTGCATTTCTTTACTTTGCATGGTCAGTCATGTAGTGGTCAATACTTCAGGTAGCTGACAATCATTTTTCCTTTTAACAACTCTCGATAATTATATTAGTACAAACTATGAAAAATATTACATACAACTATATAGTCGACAATATTTTATATTTTATAAGAATTTAAGTATGATTACATCACCTAAGCGATTTTATAAAATTCACGTTTAATAGTATTCCTTACGTTATGTTGTAAATCTTTTTAATGTTTTCTTCATTACTCGGTATAATTCTACATTTTCTAAGAATCAAAATCCAAACTTCTTGATATATAATTTTATTTTTTAATCAAACCACTAGATCAAGCAGGCAGAAACATAATTCATGTCCAAACACATAATAATAGTTATTATTTTTCACCAATTATATTTATATATGTATATGATATTTTCTAGAAAAATAAAGAGTACATAAATTTTTAGCTAATATCATGACTATAAAATTTGAAAAGGCAGTACAAACCAATACCTTAAAGCAAGATTAATTGCGTATAAGTGATAAGAACATCAAATGACCGACCAGAGATTTAACTAGGCATCAGCTAATTTTATATCGATCTTCAGTTTTCAGCTTACACAAGAAATACTTCATCATATTAATTGATAAAGTGAACACATGTTAGAATAATTCAACTTCCATTGAATGCTTATTCTGAATTTGTCCAATATGTGTGTGTACGTTCAAACACTAATATATCTAACACGAAAATGTTAGAAACAAACAAACCGAACACGCATGGTGATTTGTCCCATTCTCTTGTTTGGTGTTCAATTTTGAAGTTACTATTAGTTCAGGGCAACTATATTTACACCATATATTGTTACAAAAGAATACTAGTACTATTTTAATAATAATAATAATAATAATAATAAGAAACGTAGAATGCACTAGAAATAAACGAGGGTTTGTTGGATCCATCTAAAATTGTTATCACATTTTGTACCAAACGTTGGAAATATATTTTCTGTAACTTTCTTGGCAATTAATACTAATTATTAAATTGATAGAGTTGTTGAACGTTGCATCTTTTGGACCATTTGGCTATTTATTAAATTAATTTACATACTCTTTTTTTGCTTTATTTTTCTTATATTAGATTTGATATTTTTCATGAAACAACTAATTTCTTTTAGAACATGTTTAATGGATTTTTTGTAGCTTTTCTAAGACCTCTCTCTCTGCTTTTTAGTAAAAGAGTATTCCATTGTTTTGTATCATTTTCATGACTGAATGTAACATAACCAAGTTTTAGACTATTACAATTTAATAAATTTCTGAAGTAGCTTTTAAAACGGAGAATTTGTTTTGCGTATGATAATCTAACTGGCTCGAAAAAACAGAATACATTTTTCGTGATAGTGTGGAAAACTATTCATATGCCATCTGATGATGATGTTTTTGAAGATGTAGCAAACTTCACGAATAAGAGATCAATGTAATATTGACAAGTCGATTGTTGCAGTCCATCTTTTTGTAGAGAATACACAGAAAAGGAGAAGACAACAAAGCACAACAACTACAAATCAAAAGTGAAAGCTGCTTGGTAAATTTTGTATAGGATTCGTTCACTCCTCAAATCTACCAAGTAGTACAACCCTTCACTAAATTGACCTTTGTCTCCCTTGATGCATTTGTGTACATATTGTGAGTCTATATGGTTATGCCTATTCTTTTACTCTTCCAAATCTTTATGGTTAGGTTTAGT